TCCACTTAAATATTTTTTGCTAAAGTGACTTTGTGTTGAAGTGATGGGTTAGGACCCAAGATGGGGAGAGCGACTGGTCACCTGGGTGACCCGAGTAATCAAATGGCCTTAGAGGAGAACCTGTCGCAGCTGCGATCGGAAAAGATGAGGCTGGGGAGGATCCAGCACGCTGCTCTGTGCTGATTTGAAGTGGACAAAGGGGCCGCAAGCCAAGGAATGCAGGAGGCCTCTAGACTCTGGAAAATGCCAGAAAACAGATTAGTCCTAGATTCCAGAAAGACATAGCCCTGCAGACACCTAAAAAATCTCATCGATTTTCTCATGAGACACATTTCAGACTTGTGGCCTACAGATAATACATTACATTTGTGTTATTTGTACAATCTTCTATCAGTTCACTTAATGCTATGGTGATTGTTTCTATACGGCAGCTTTTAGAAAAAAATTTTTTGTTATTTTAAGCATGTTTAAATTCTTCCAGAGGAGTGTACGCAACTTTTTCAAAACGATGAGTGAGTTCATGAGAAAGCAGAGGAGGAGAGGAATAAGAAAAGAAAGAGTGAGCAGAAGAAATGGAATAGAGAAAGTTCTGGGTCCCATTTCTCAGATGTTAGGCTCATGGCACACGCTGGCCAAACAAACACAAGTCCCAGCAGAGGCAGCTGAATGCCAGGCAGAGCCCGCTGGTGGCCTGTCCCCGTCTCCGCGTGCCTGTCTGTGGCTGACACAATGAGCCGCGTGGAATCCAGCCCACCCAAAGGCAGCTGGGCATGGGGGAGCTTCGATGTAACTTCTGGCTTAAAAAATCCATCCTGAATTTTAAAAATTGTTTTGATGTTATGAGTTCTCACTAAATGTCTCTGATGTGTGTTTCTTAGGCCCTCTGTTTCCCTAGTATTGCGTTTGCCTCCTGGACTATTTCCGATCAAGAGCCCAGGATGCGCGGTGGCTTTTGCACGGCCTCTCGTAAACTCTGGGATGTCGCCCCCAGCTTCTCGGCATCGTCGTGTCTCCTCCCGCAGCTCAGTGTCCTTTCAACACGTCTCAGCACACTTTCCTCCGCTCAGATCCCCGCATGAGCTTCCCGCCTCGCTCTGAGTGCAACGTCCTTCCCGTGTCGACAGGCCGTCGTGAGCCGGTCCCTGCCCCTGTTTCTGCCTCTGCCTGACCTGCTCATCTGCAGCCTGGCGGCTCCTGGATGTCCATCGCCAGTGAGAACGTGCCCACCTCGGCCACGAACCTGCTTCTACTGCTGCCCGCAGTTCACGGTCCCAGAGGAAATGTCTCTGCAACGGGCCCCTTTTCAGAAAGGTGTCCCAGTCACTCACAGAACGGTCGCTCTATGTCCTGTGACTTGCTGAATTTTCTCTATAGGACATATCCCCACTTGTCATGCTTATATGTGTAGTATGACATTTATATACTGTGTATATACAATGTCTATGCACATATTTGTATAGTGTGTGTATATATACATATACACACAAGTCATGCTCCATATAGTGACGTTTGGCAACAACGACAGCAAGATGAAAGTGCCCCATGACATGATAATGGAGCTGAGAAATTCCTGTCACCTAGTGACATCTGATGATCCTGACCCTGTGTGGCCTGGGCTAATGTGTGTGCTTGTGTCTTAATTCTAACAGAAAAGTTTAGAATAAAAATAAAATTAAACATGAAAAAGCTTATAAAAGTATAAAGAAGAAAGTAGTTTGGACAGCTATACAATGTGTCTGTGTTTTAAGCTAAGTGTTATGACAAAACAGTCAAAAAGTTAAGAAAAAGTAGAAAGTTTATAAGTAAAAAGTTGCAGTAAGCTAAGGTTAATTTATGCCGAAGAAAAATAGCTTTAAATAAATGTAGTGTCGCCTAAGTGTACAGTGTTATAAGTCTGTAAAGTTTATAAAGTGCAGAGGAAGTTCTAGGCCTTCACACCACACACAGAGCAACTTCCAGTGCTGCACGCTCCATTCATGGTAAGTGCCCTATACAGGTGTTCCATCTTTATGTCCTATTTTTATAACTTTTCTGTTTAGGTATGTCTTGATACACAAATACTTACCCTGTGTGTACAGCTGCCTACAGCATTCAGTGCACTAACTGGCTGCGTAAGTTTGTAGCCTAGGTGGGGGTAAGCTGTGCCGTCTAGGTTGGTGTAAGTGTACTCTACGATGTTCGCACGGTGATGGATCACCTAAGGATGCATTTCTCAGAACATATCCTGGCTTTAAGTGATGCATGATAATATATATATATTATATATTATACAATATATATATATTCTATATAATGTCTAATTATTATTTACATTCAATAAGCATTATATTAGTATAATAATGTCATATTAAAAGCCATATAATGTACACATGTTAATACATTATATAGACATTTTAATATATGTAGTATGTATGATACTATATATAATGCCATACTACATGTGTACAGTAATAAACAACACACACATGACATATGTCTCTCACCGTATTGCCCAGGCTGGTCTTGAACTCCTGACCTCAAGCAATCTTCCTGCTTCAGTTCTCAAAGTGCTGGGATTACAGGTGTGAGCTACCATGCCTGGCCTAATCAGCCCTTCTTTTAAAGAATTTCAAGCGTTCCAAGTCTCCTGGTTTACACAACCAGAGTTATAATTGGACAATGAGTTCTTTGTCATTTCCAGACTCTTAATTTAGATAAATTTTAAAACATCCATAGCAGCAGAAACCATATTATTCTGAAATAGCAATGATATACTAATGGCAATTTCCTTTCCTTCTGAGAAGAGTTCACTGTCTTTGGTTCTTCTTATTTAACTTTATCTGATTTTATCCAACAGGCTTGGAGGTCATTAAAGATCAATCCAGACTGTAGCTGGCCCAGTGCTGATGAAGAAATCCTCAGGGATCTGGGACTGGGGCTAATGTTTCAAGTCATTCATGCTTTGGGGTAATTGATAATTATTTTACCTATTTATCCATTCAAAATATTTACTAAGACTATCAGGTTACTATGATAACATAAACATCATCATCATTAATTGCTAACTTCTTTGAAACATTTACTATGTGTCTAATTCTGTTCTGCTACATATTATTAATAACTCATTTAACCTTGTATATATTAATCATTTAATCACCAAGCACTACAAAGCAGGTACTGTTATATTATCCTCGATTTATAGTTGAAAAACATGAAACAGCACAGAAGTTGGCTTAGATGCTAAAGTAAGAACTAAAATTGATTGATGTGTTGCGTAATGGAAAAAATCCTATTCCATAGAAGAAGAATATTTCAAGTTATTGTGGGTCCTAGTGATGAAAGGTTTGTGACAGGGGCATTATGGAGGATGGCATTTGAACTGGATAAGAAATATTTTATAGAAATTAAAGACTAGGAAATGATGATGTGTGAGAGAAATAAGCTAGAAGGAAAGCACGAAGGCATTCCAGGCAGAAAAATTCTCAACATTGTAGCCATGTAAAATGGCATCTGGACCATTGGGGAATCTAAGTTTGGGGTATCTAAGGGTGGGCCCGAGGGCTCACCTGACTTTGAGTTGGTCTGTTCACCAGTGGGATCAACTGACTAGCCCAGTTCCCAAATTACCAGGGATGAAGTCCAGGAATGAGGTTTTATTAGAGTTTTTTAAACCATATGGCATACTCCAGATAACTCAGGAGTGGTTCCGGCATGGTGTCCTGGTCCTGCAGCAGGATTGAAACTGCATGATCTTGGCAACGTCCCAAGTGTCCTGTGAGCTTGAGGGAGAACAGAGCTGAGAAGCCCGCTCAGCAGGGGCTGCAGGCTGAACCGCCTCCTCCCCTGACAGCGTTCCACCGCCCTCACGATTAAGAAGCCTTTCTTGCTAACTGCACTGTTTCTTTCTCTCTTAATTTCAACTTCGATCTGAAACAAAGGGACGTCAGATCCTGTGATAGCCAGCTCAAGTCGCTGCTCTGCCTCGAGAGAGTGGGTAGGAACCATTGGTGGTGCTTTAAATAACTTCTCACTTTAGACCCTTCAGAAGACTGTTAGAAATATCTAGGTTGAGACGATTTTTGTCCTTTCATCATAAAAGAGCTCCTTCACTTTACACTTGCTGGGAAAAAAAATTCCCTGGAACTAAAACGATAGGATTCTACACCGAAAGAGGAGTAAAGGGTGAGACAGAGACGGACTGGGTGGGATTCAGGGTGAAATTGTGTTGAGAGGGGAGGGGAAGGTTGGGTAAATATTACCCATAAAGTTGGGCTCCAATCTGGGGCGGATGGAAGAGGAGTTTGGCAAGCTTGTCTACTTGAGTAGGATTCAAGACTGGGCACACACGAGCAAGGGTCCTTGTGTGTTTCCATCTTCCCCCGTCACCCACGGCCCTCTCCTGGGGGTGATTTCCTCTCCTAGTCTACGACGTCAAAGATGAAATATTTAGAGTCTGTAGCTGTTCTTTAAGAAAAGAGGGCATGCAGTGACATTTAGCTCTTCATTTAAATGACTGTCACCCCAGTCACTCGTCCAGCCCCATGTAGGGAGGGGTGACCAACTGCACAGTCTTTGTTAACCACTCCGATCTGGCACTCACTGCCGCGACACCTTGCCCACAGCGGACACTCACAGTCCGCACAACAGTCTGTGCTGTGCATTGACGACGCATCCATCTTGCTCTTGTGCATGACAAAGCTTGAAAGCACTGAAAGCTTGTTTTACTTTACAGGCAGCTTTACTTGCAACGTAAATCAGAATAGGTAACCTAGACATATGCGTTTTCATTATGTTATTTTTAAATGTTCACAACTGTATTTTATTTATTTATTATTATTTATTATTTTTTTTTTGAGACAGAGTCTCGCTTTCTTGCCTAGGCTAGAGTGAGTGCCGTGGCATCAGCCTAGCTCACAGCAACTCAACTCCTGGGCTCAAGTGATCCTCCTGCCTCAGCCTCCGAGTAGCTGGGACTACAGGCAAAGCCACCTGCCGGCTGATTTTTATTATATATATTAGTTAGCAATTATTTCTTTCTATTTTATGTAGAGACGGGGTCTCGCTCAGGCTGGTTTTAACTCCTGACCTTGAGGCATCGAATCCGCCCGCCTCGGCCTCCCAGAGTGCTAGGATTACAGGCGTGAGCCACCGCGCCCGGCCTATTTTATTTATTTATTTATTTTTTTGAGACAGAGTTTCACTTTGTTGCCCAGGCTAGAGTGAGCGCCATGACATCAGCCTAGCTCACAGCAACCTCAATCTCCTGGGCTCAAGCGATCCTCCTGCCTCAGCCTCCCGTGTAGCTGGGACTACAGGCATGCGCCACCATGCCCAGCTAATTTTTTCTATATATTTTCAGTTGGCCAATTAATTTCTTTCTATGTTTAGTAGAGACGAGGCCTCGCTCTTGCTCAGGCTGCTTCGAACTCCTGACCTCGAGCGATCCTCGGCCTCTCAGAGTGCTAGGATTACAGGTGTGAGCCACCACGTCCGGCCCACAATTTTATTTTGATAAATGAAAAATTAGAAAAGTCATATCATGGCTGTCGGCTAAAGTCGCTGTGCTAGTTCATCTATGACGGTGACTATAGACGGCGCTGGTACCGAAGTGGGTTAAGTATGTAATTCCCAAGCCTCTTTTCCCCACTTTATGCAGTGTAGACTATAAGCACCTGGAGAGTCCAAGTACAAAACAAACGATGACATCCCAAAGTCAAGCTCGACTGTATGTAGACAAAGTCACCCTAAGCTGTGTTTGATAAAAGGGTGGATATGGGTTGTGACACCCAAGTTCAGAGACCAGGACGTAGCGAAGGTAGGGGTGGCCCTTAGGGGGCGCTCAAGACCGGTGGGTGGTTGAGAGTAAGTTTGTGACTCAGTGTCCCTACAACAGTCCGGGGGAGGATGCACTGGTCTTCCAGCAAGGAGGTGGCCAACCTCATCCAGGTGTCCCCACGCTTGGTTTTCCAGCGTGCTTCCGCTTCCAACGGCGGCCCCTGCGTCTCTTTGGGTACTGACCCCCGGCCCTGCCCGTGCTGACTCCTGTGAAGGTCAGAGCCTGTCCTGCTGCGCACGTGGTGGCTCTTACCTGGTGACCGGGGTGCAGGAGTAGAGCCCAGTTCTCTCAGCCTCGATTGGGACAATGTGATGTGGGAACTCCACTCTCTCCAGTGCCCCGGTGACATCGAGCCAAACCACCTTCCCGGGGACTTGGCTTGATAACCCAGCCTGATTACTACCCATTCCCGCGCCACTCCCCACTCACCTGCCAGCTTTCCTGGTAACACAGTCTGAAAAGTCACTTTCATGTGGATCCTTGTCTCCGAGTCTGTGTCCGGGGAACCCAGTCTAAGACAACGGACGTCTGGCAGGCACTTTGCTTTCATGATCACCAAACCATCTTCCAACTCTAATTCGTCTTCCCATGTAGCTTTTCTGCAAGGAGGGAAGGTAGAAGGAGCATTCCCTGTCCAGTCTGGCAGTTTTATTTCTCACTGCACATTTGGAGTTCTGCACTGCAGATCAGTTTCTCAAGGGCTATGAATGCAACTCTGTCCCCAAGAGCCAGGCCACCCCCGGGAAATGGACAGTCATATTTTAAAACCTGCAAGGCTGGGACATTTTAGACCCACATCAGGTGCCACCTTGGGAGATCTTGTTTTGGAAGCCACTTGCCTTCCTGGATAGACTCTCCACTGGGTCACGCTTCAACCACTAGAAGCTTCAGTACTTTGACCTCCTGACCAGGGAGGGCTGAGAACATAAATTGTAACTGTTCCCTCATTTCCTTGAGAGCCATCCCTCCTGTGCTTTGCTGTGGTTTGAATGTGTGTCCCTCCAAAACTCATGTTGACATTTAATTGCCATTGTAGCAATATTAAGAGGTGGGAGCCTTAAGAGGTGATTAGGCCACGAGGGCTCCACCGTCGGGAGGGGGACGGTGCCCTGGAAAAGGGGGAGCTCCACCCTCTCATGCCCTCTGTCGCCCTCTCACCTTCTGCCACGTGACGCTGCAACAGGAGGGCCCTCGCGGACGCGGCACCTTGACACTGAACTTCCCAGCCTGACGCTGCGAGCCAGCGCATTTCTGCTCGCTATAAATCAGCCAGGCTCGGGTGTTCTGCTGCAGCAGCATAACACGAACTGGGACACTTTGGTTAGAGGCAGGTGCAGACCGGGGTCGGGGTCGCCAGAGACAGGTGCAGACCGGGGGGTCAGGTCGCGGGCGTGCCGCGCAGTCTCACAGCCCGTCTGTGTTCCGCGGTCTCCCATCGCAGATAAGAGGAAACACTCCATTCCTGTGGCTGCATCCAGGGACCGAGTGAGACATGCGCATTCTAGAAATCCGGAATACTTTTATCTTTGTCCGCCGCACAGGCGGAATCGCAGCCTAATCTTTCGCTTCTGTGAGTTCGTATTTGTGCATCTGAAGTTTCTAAAAAGTAGAAGAAAGCTTACACTTTGATTAATGAGTTTACGCTGAGATCTTTAAAGTGCTCGACTGTGACGACTAATCCGTGTTAGGAAGCGGGGCCACGGCGAGCGCGCTCCCAAGTCCGGTCGCGCGGAGGAGCCGACGGCGCGGAGGGCGACGCGCCGTCCGGCGCTTCCGTCTCTGGACGCCAGTCCCGCGGGCGCGCGCGCGTGACTCCCGCCGGCTCCTTCGCGTCGCTGGAGCCGTGCCGGGAGGCCGTCGCGAGCGCGGACGGCCGGCTCCGCGTCGCTGCAGTCCCGGCTGGCCGCCGGGCGGCGCTGCTGCGCTAGGCCGGGCGAGCCGGCGGCGCGGCCGGGGCGGGGGTCCATGGGCGGAGCTGCCGCGAGCCCGGCCCCGCGGGCGTGGCTTCCCGGAGGGCGCGGGCCCCGCGGCGGGAGGAAGCGCTCACTCGCGGAGCTGCCCGCGCTGTGCGAACCGAGGCCAGAAATAGAGCCGGGAAGAGGGAGCGCGGGGCGGAGCAGATGCTCGGCGGCGCTCCGTGCAATACATCTGCCCGCTGCCCACTCCCGCCCTGTCGCCGCGGGCCATCCGCGCCCTATTTTCGTCTCCGCGGAGGCTCCGGCCGGCCCGCCCCGCCGGCCCCCTCGCAGACGATCCCCCCGGGCCGCGCTCCGGCCGAGGGTGACATCATGAGCTATTTCTGTCCCCGCGGATTGCAATGTCATAACAGCGCGCATCTTGTGCCAAAACGTGGCCCCCAGGCTGGCAAAGAGGAGGAATTATCTCCAAGGCAAACTCCTTGATCTCGAAATGCCTCTCAAGGCACACTATTTAAAGCCATTGCAAAACGAATAGCAAAAATAGACCCCTCGTGAGGGTGGCCTGGAGAACAATGTGATGTTTTCTCCGGTGGCCTAATCACCACTGGTGAAGAAAAGACTGTCGCCTGTCTAGGCGAGGCAGGCAGCCACTTGGCTGCATTGGGATCTGGGTCCAGGAAAATCGCCCCATCAGCCCACGTCTACCCAAAGGTGTCCTCTCCTCTCTGCCTTCCTGCTCTAATCGAAAATCCTCCTTGGTGGATCTCTTGGGAGAGCGGAAGCTGAGTAATGAATGCGTGAAGATGCGGCAGCACCCAAGTGTGAGCCCTACCTGGGGAGCTTGATGCAGGGACAGGAAGAAAGTTCAAGGACAATGCAAAATAGGGGATCCAGCAAGAGGCAGCTTGGAGAGGGTTGGGGTGAGCAAAGAAAATACCTGGAGGACCAAGGGAGGATGGCAGCAGAGCTTCATTGAGTTGAACCACTTGAAATTCCCATTTTTGTTGGTCAGAGTTGGTCAAAAACCAGTTCTGGGGCCAAGCAATTCTGAGTACAATTGACCTGCCAATACTGGTGAGTGGCCCTGCTGTAACCCCGGACTGCCAGCTCCACAATTCTCAGAATACATGGTGCCTGCGTGTGTCACCCCCACCAGGCACCAGGATCATCTCACTCCTTCTAAACTTGGTGGCTTAGGGTGTTAATGTTTTTAACTTTTTTCTTCCTTTGACACAGTCAACAGATAATATCTCCTTGCAAGACACCCCCATCAGTATCTGAGGCCACGGTGTTGGTTGTTATACACCTCAAAGAGGTGACCGTCTGGGCACATTTCCTGGTCCACTCTCAATTCCGTATTTTTTGAGTCCAGTAATCATATTATCCTCTGCTGGTGGTGTAGACATACAATTTAAGAACTGCTGGTCTACAAGATCAGGAATGTGAGAGAATCTTCAGGAACAAGGTTTTATCAGGAAAATGTATCACCCTGCCTTCTCCAGAGCAATCAAAATTGACATTAAAGTCTAATTGAATTGGGCTTAATGTGAGGTCTCTGTAAGACAGAGTCATGATATTGTCATTCGCATGGAGGTTGGCTCAAATAGATGGTTCTGGATAAGAAACACTCCAAAAAGAGCCAACGCCTATTTATGATACCCTACCCTTAGTTTGAATGCTAACTTCATGGGAATCCTCCAAGAAGCCATAACGAGAGTTGGAGAAAAGTGATCATCTAACTGGAAGTAAAGTACAGAAGTGTGGTATGCAATCTAAGAGGTCTCATGTTTTTTGGGATGAAGTTTCTTCCTTGGAGCATAAAACAAGATTAAAACCAATTACTCAATCAGAGCCCAATTGCAGTTGGCTTCCCGTTCTCTCTGTCCATACAAAGCTGTTATTATAAAGCAAGTTGATGAGAAATCTGAGTATATTTTCTGTGGGCAGAAGTTGATTTCCCCTTGGCCTTAGGAGATGACTACACAAAAGAAAATATGTGAGGTTCAGAAACTTAAATAGACAACAGATAACAATTGATGTGATCGATGCCTTGCTATAAGCAGAATAGAATTTTTGCAGACCAAGTGGTTTTGAAGGGCATTCACTTTGTTGTGTGTAACTCTGTATTTATATCAGGGAGTCATCATTTCACTTTGTAACCAATACGTGTTCATTGTCAAAAGAACATCGGCCCCTGGTTTAACATTATGGGGGCAGTGGGTAGTGTCAGAGGGGAATAACTTTTAGGTTTTTTATGGTAGCGAAGTTATCATGTGCTCACATTGCTCAGACCTTTAGGGAGCATGTAAACTACTTCAGACCCGAGCCTTGATATTTGTATTTTATGACATTTACTAATGACTCGAAAGCATGCATTGTACTCCTGAACTTTTAAATGGTAATATATCTTCTGTTCTGTCATACTAATCTAACTACAATAACCTGCCTATGAAAATTAAATATCGGTTAATGGTTATAATAATTACAGGCACAAGCCTAAGGCAGCAAAGCTTAAAATTAAGTTGAATCATATGAATCGCCACTTTTGGAAACAAAAACTTATTAAAATAATCAGCTCTAGAACCAAGTAATCCTCAAGTCAGGTCGGGCATGCCAGAGCTGGTGGGCAGCTCAACCCCAGCCCAGGGCTGCCTGGCTCCAAAGCCAGCCCCTGAGCTCTGAACGTTACGCCTGCATTTACCACCTCCATAAATGTACTATCTCTATAACCCTGGGCTGCAAACCTCCTGGGCAAGAAGAAGCCCCTGCAAAAAGGAGTTGAACTCTAAAGGAAAAATTCATTTGTTTGGTTAAGCTGCAGTCTGTATGTTCATGCAGCAATTTCATTTAACTTTTAAAGTCTTGCAAATGGAATATACAGCACTTACTTCCCAAAAGATATCTATGCCTAGCAAGGTCCAGAAATTTGTAAACGTAGAGAAATGAAATCGATGTGTGAATGTGCACACCGCAGCTCAATCAAACGAATTTTTCCTTTGAGCTGGCCTCCGTGGGAGCCTGTATGTTCATTCCCAAGATGAGAATATTTTTGATATACAGTTGGTACCACGGTTGGCATTACCCTAAGAGAGAGTTTATAAAAAGCCTCCTCATTATCTTATAGCCACACCTTGTAAATCTGTTTTCCTTGGGGTAAGCAAATGCCAGACCAGCATGGTACACACCGTGTGCTCAGTATCATCTATTGAGCACACGCAGATGCATGAGCCCTTTGTCAGAATTTAAAGCCAGTCTTGCTAGAGCTAATCTCTGGGCTAAATTTCAGGAGGGTTTCCAGATTAAATAAGACAATTTATGGCTACGAATATTCTCTGGTAAGTGGAAGGAGGGGTGCGGGAGGCATGAGAAAGTCTAATGAATGTGATCGGATTTGGGTATTTGGTGTATATTCCATACTGTTTTCTAAGAAATTCTTAAATTCTGCTATGTGACTTTATAGAAATTCTCTAAAGTTTGAACATGAAAGCGTGAACATTCCTTTGAATCTGTCGGATCCGTCCCCTCTGAGCCTTCTGTGTTTGGCAGTTTCTCCTGCCTGAGAGTCCTCAAAAGGTGCTTCCCCAGGGACCCGCTCGGCACGTGTCTGTATACTCCAGCCAGCTTTGCCCGTTAATAGGAGACAGGGTTAAGGAGTAGAAGGTCGGCCTTTCTTTAGTTCCTGTCCCTGCTGGAAGTTGTAGCACCTAGTTTACTCTGAGTGTCAAGGTTCTATGCTTAGTGAGTCCCCAAAAGCACAATTCACAGCCACCCATTGACAGTAGAGAGGGGGTGGGGAGGGGAAGAGAGAGAGAGAGAGAGAGAGAGAGAGAGGAAGCATCTCTTGCTTTGTTATTGATCTCTGCACATGTGAACCTACTGGTTGACAAAGAGAATCTTGAATCTTGAAATTTACTCTAATGCTCTCTAAACTTTGTTTAATGCACTGGTAACATTCCTTAATATACTATGGAGTAATATATGGGGGCCGTCCAGATAGTATCCAGCCATGTAATATGAAAAATGATGTTAACAATGGCTGGATACTTTCAGGGCAGCCCTCATACACTTGGGATGACATAGTTGTTAACTAGAGCAGAAGCAATTAATATTTCAAATAGTATTCTTGATAAATGCACCTTTTGGGGGCCTCTTTTTTGCCAGATGGATTATATGAAGGTGGCTTCTATTGGCAGACAGATTGTGTCAAAACCAAGGCAAATGGCAATGTTGCCACTTCCCTATTTGTCACTTTTGCTAAAATCATTAGCATTATCATTGATGTGTAATTTTTTAGCAAAAATCATTTCAAGCCAGTTTTTAATTTGGTAAGGATATATCTAATTCATCTAGAATTAGATAAATATAATCTATACTTTGTTTCATTCAGCGTGGATATAAATTGCAATGCATTCCAATGCACTGGATGTAAACTGTCAGCGAGGGTACCGTGAC